GTGTTTTCTAAAGGTCTGTTTTTACGCTGTCACAGCTCAAAAATGCCAAAAGGCATTTTTTCCTTAAAAAATCACCTCTGGGCTAAACCCAAATGTGGAGTAATGGACCCAGAAAGGACTTTTTGAGTAGTTACAAGTGGCTGAAAGCAGGCACTGGTGATGGAAGTTGGGTTTTTTTCCTTTTGCTTCAAATGTGCCCCGTTGTAAACTTTCTTGCATCCTCATGGAATTCAGACTTGAGGTGAGCCTTATTTCTCTGTGTGCCTGGAAGGGCAGGGTGAGTGAGCTTGTTTTGCTACCTCTTTAAATGTTTTGTGTAGCCATGTATCTCTACCCAAAGAGAGTCTTAAAATATTGCTTGGGGAACAGGAGTGGGGGGTGTGGGTGGGCTGGAAGAGCAGAGTCATCAAGGGAGAACAAAGGGCCCTGGAGTCTGACAGACTGGAGTTTGAGTTGGCCCGTTACTGGCTACGTGACAGCCTTGGGGACATCTGCTTCCATTGATTAAGCTCCATTTGCCTCATCTGTATAATGGGCATGGGCCCACTTACCTCCTGTAAGTCAACGCAAATGAGATAAGAGAGAGCACGTACTTGACCGACCCTTGTGGCTCACAGCACATAGTAGGTGCTTAGTAAACACTCATTTTTCCCTTTCAAGGGGGAAATCTGACTGATGGTGTCAGTAGATTCCAGTAAGGGCCCCCCCACCCCCGACACACTTGTTCTCAGGGCTCGCTGTTTGGAGAACATGGGTTGATGTAGTGAGAGGACCTTCCTCTAGCAGGTGCGCACCAAGCGGCCACAGCCACGCCACTTGTTGGTTTACGGCTTGGAAGGCTATTGAAAGACAATTCATATTCTTCGGTGGTTCTCCCCTCCTCCATCATCATTTTAAAAATTGTTTGGCTGACTAAAAATAATAGTATTGAAAATAAACTTTGATGAATCAGTGCTCCTGGGGTGGGGGGTATAAGATCCTGAAGAAGAAACACCGTGACTCACAGGCTCGTCACCGATAGCCTGCCCTTCCGTGTGTGCAAGTGCGTGATGTTTATTGTTGCTGGTGTGTTGTTTCTGAGGCCTGGTTGGAAAGCAGTTTCAGCTCCAAGTACCACCTCACCAGTTGGCTTGGTTGTCAGGTGAGATTGTTCGGTGCCAGAAGCTCACCGCTCCAGGATAACCCAGATGTGGATGGCGGTACCGTGGGCTGCTCCTCGAGGGGGGCCAGAGGGCTCTCACACTTAGTAGGCCATGCTTTGGACATCCTTCTGGATGTGGTACTTTCCATGGGGCAGAGCTGCAGGGCCCAGGGATGGCCCACGTAGAGTCTGCACTTCCTCCTTCCAGACTGTATGCTGGGTCCCGACCCTTCAGTTCCCTGCCCACACGGTCTCAAGCCTGCTTGCAGGCCCATCTGCCTAAGGAAGGGCAGACTGCATCGGCCGTGGACCGTGTGTGCACCCGTGGGCCCCAGGCTGACAAGGTGGGCAGGGCCGGGAGATGGAGGGATTGGATGGAATTCAGACTCGGGGTGTCTGCATGGGTGTCCATGAAGCCCCTCTAAGTGTGGGGTGATGCTGGGGAGGGCCAGCTCTCCCCGAGTGTCCGCATCCCGCTGTAAAACCGAGGGGTCAGAGAACTCTGAATTCAAACGTGGCCTCCCAGGTTCTATCAAGGTATTTGTCAATATGATAGAACATATTCTATTTATCAGTCTGTTATCTTGATTTCTGTCTTTTAAATTTAAATATGACACATCCTATGTGGGCCTTCGTAGGTCCTCTTGCTCTGGGACCCATTGATGGTGAGGCAGGCCTGTTTTTAGCACCCTCCTCTCAGTTATGTAGCCACAACTGGGGCCCCGCTCAGGTGGCACCATTATATGGGCAGGATTGTGGGTACTTCTATAGGGATTGATTTCCCTCACCTTGAACCCAGATCAGAGTGAATTAAATGCAGATCAGGGAGCAGGTGATACGTATGGCAGCCGCCCATCTTAAAGGTGGAGCAAAGAGCCCAACCGCTGTAGTGCGTTTGGTTGTTGGATCTATTTATTGGGCACTGACTTTGTGCTGGCCCTCGGGAGATACAGAGATGCAGAGATAAAGTCCTGTCCCTGAACTGCACAGAGGCAAAAAGGGACACGGTGACCACAGTTAACGGTGGGCTCATGGGGAAGACAGTCTAGCAAAGGCTGAAGAAAGAGGTATTTGGGAGCCCAGAGAAAGAGCAGCTCTTTTCTGGGGGACCCAGAAGACTTCACAGAAGTGATGTTCCAGCGGGACTTTGAAGGGTGGATAGGAGTGTGGGAGTGAGGGGAAGGCTGCATGGAGCACTGGCCAGACAGAGGGTAGAAGGGCCTGGTGTGTGGGGCAGGGTGGCCAGAACGTGGAAGAGGGAGTGGCCAGAGAGGGTCGGGAGAAGGATGTTGCCAAGGGCTTCAGCTGGCCAGACTTGGCGTTTGGACCTTGCTCCGTAAGCACGCAGGAGATTTTTAAGTTAGGGGAGGGGCGTGGCTGAAGCCACCATTCTATTCACATTCCTCCCCCACCCCGAGGCTGGTAAGAGCAGGTTTTCTGCTGGAGTTATCCGGGTCAGAGTCATAATCCCTTACACCACCATGTGGACAGCTTTAGGCTATGTCTGGACCAGGGTGAAAATAGTGTTTTGTTGGCCGTCAGGAGAGAAGACAAGTTGTACAGCCAGGAGGGCTGGGGGAGCCCAAGTGTTCAGGTAATTAGCCAGTGAGTCATGCCAGCCTCTTGACATGGATTCCTTGGGAAATGAAGCAGGGTGTCGCTGGGCTCCATACAGAGGCCTCAACATCAGAACCTGGCCTCTCCCTGGGTCTTTTCTGTGCCTGGTACGGTGTCTTTGTGTAGAATATCTCTGGTCAGTGTTTTAAGTGTCTTCACTGATGATCGCCTAGGCCAGGCTTTCCAATTCCAGACCACACTGCAATCAGCAAAAATACACCTAAATTCTCTACTGCAGACTCATCGAATGCTATCAGATATTAAAAACAGATCATATTCCTTAATAAGAGAGTAAAATAGTTTAAGTTCATATATTTTATCACTGAGAGCAAGCAGAAATTCTGGTGACCACTGAGAGATTGCATACAATTTACCTCATCTGTTTAGAGTCAGCTTTTTTTTGTTGTTAATTGAAGTTTATAGGTTTTTAGAAGATAAAAGTTTTGTGTCCACAGACTGATTCTAGTTCATGGACCATTTTTGAGAACCCTGATAGAGGCCTGCTGCTGAAGGGGCAGCCTCCTGCAGTGGAGCATTCTGGGCTTACATTCAGAAGACCCAAGTTCGGATCCCTGCTCTCCCCTTTCCTGCTTTGGTGACCGTAGACCAGTCACCTGATTTCTTTGAGCCTCCCTTTCCTCAGCAGTAAAATGGGAAAAACCTTGCCTCCCTTGGTGGGATGATTGCAGTTGTTTATTTAGATGAGCTAGGCATTAAAAGCTCTTTGCAGACTGTGAAATATTATGCAGTGTCGCTCATTATTTCTTTATGAAGCACAACTCTATAGTATTGCTAAAAGCCCTTCCTGACGGAGATGGAGTTAAGGCCTCCAAGTTCACACCCAGATTTGCACCGCCACCTTAGAGAAAATCATTAACGATGCACAAATTCAATAGGAATGTGAACTCAGGGCGTGCGTGCTGCAGGGTCTAGTTCCGAAAGCTTAGGTGAGTTGGTGCTCGTGGCCTTGTCTGAGGGTTTGGGTCAGCTGTGCTGACCTGTGGCTGATCACCTGAGCCCTCTCACCTGGGAGTGATCCTGGCACAGGCAGCGTGGACTGGGTGCTGACTATATGCCAGACAGCAAGGTGGGCCATTGATCAGCTGGTTGGTCTTCTTTACCCATCTTCTGGGAAGGATGAGTAATCCACGTTTAGAGAAGAGGAAGCAGGGGCTTCCCTGGTGGTGCAGTGGTTAAGAATCCGCCTGCTGATGCAGGGAACCTGGGTTCGAGCCCTGGTCCGGGAAGATCCTATGTGCCGCGGAGCAACTAAGCCCGTGCACCACAACTACTGAGCCTGCGCTCTAGAGCCCGCGAGCCACAACTACTGAAGCCCGCACGCCTAGAGTCCGTGCTCTGCAATGAGAGAAGCCACCGCAATGAGAAGCCCACGCACCGCAACGAAGAGTAGCCTCTGCTCACCGCAACTAGAGAAAGCCTGCGTACAGCAACAAAGACCCAACACAGCTATAAATAAATAAATAAAAACGGCTTGGAGTTAAAATGCAAAAAAAAAAGAGGAGGCTGAGGCTTTCAGGGGTCAGCGGCAGAACAGGAATCTGAATTCAGGTCTGGTTCCTGACACCCAGTTGCCTGCTCCGAGGCTCCCCGAGAATGGGCTGCTGTTCTCATCCTCACAACAAAATCCATGAACTTGCTCAGGAAAGTTGCTGTAGGTCTCATGATAAGAGATGGAGCTGGATTTGCCTCTGAAGCTTTGCCCCTTCTAGAATCAGGGGTGACTATATAATTTATTAAACAAACCAGGACACTTCTAAGAGTGTAAAAGGGCAGTGCTGTCATTAGTGATGGCCAGAAAATGGGCATCAACCTGGACTGTCCAGGCAAACCTGGATAAATAGTCATTCTAAGTCACCCTGCCTCTGGGCCAGTGATGATGATACCTGACCAGGGAAACTGGGAGGATTACATCAGCAGCTTTCTCTGCCGCTGCTAAAGTGTCAGGGACTGTCTGGATTATTTACTGCTATTCCGAGTGAGGGGACTTGCCTAAGATCATTCAGCAAGTTGGCCACATAATTTAAAACTGGATGAGACCTTAGAGGTAATCTAAAATAGTCAAGTTAGCACCCGAGCTTACTTAGCTGCAGTAGGAGTTGGGGAACCTTTGGCTCTGCTGATGGCCACTCTGAAGGGAAGGGGGGAGAAGTGGGAGGTGGAGGGGGGGACGTGAGGGTGGCAGTGAGGGGGTGGTAGGGTGTTCACCTGGCTCTAGAACATCTGCATCCTCATCAGGCCATGTCCCTTCGGAACCCAGGAGATGCCTCTAGGTGCAGTGCAGCTGAGATGGGATTTCATGTCCAGGAGCAGAGTCTTCTTCTGTGAGCTGACCTCTCCTGCCCCCCTGCTCCATTTTCGCTGAGGCCTCAAAGATATTACTGGCTGGGAGCTGGTGGGGGTGTAGTGGATAAACCTTCTGCTGAAGAGTTTTGGAAGGCATTGAGGAAGGAATTAAAAATAACAGCAAGCATGCCTTTTTTCTCTCTTTGATGCTGGTAAATGCATGGAATGTGCCAGGGTATGTGGCCCTAAATAACCCCCTCTGTCAATGGGACTCCGTAGAGAACATGGAAAGGCTTTGCACTGCTTCCCTTCTGCCCCATGTTCATGGGACTGGTTTCTGCGATCGTCCAAGCCTCATGCTTCCTCTCTTGCCCCAAATAATCTGTTGGAAATCTGGAGAGGGACTTGAGTTCTCTATACTCTGCAACCAAACTGTTTGCCGTGGGCGAGGCCCTGTCTGATGAACTCCAAGGAGAGCAGCTGGAGTGACAAAGAAGACTGGTTACAGGCTGAGAAAAGTGAAGTGTAAATTCAAACCAAACTTGGCACTTGCTTGGAGAACTTCAGCTGATACGGCTCTAGTCGTCATCCTTTGTGGCTGTGCTGTGTCTTATAAATAGAACAAGATGCATTTCCTTTTTTTTTTTTTTAACCCCAGAGACACAAGGAGGCATGTGTGTGGGTGAGTATGGGCAGGGAATATTAATTATTTATGTTCCAGTTCATCGGAGAGTCAGCATGGGAACTGGCCCCCGGGCTTCATGGAGATGACTAGGCCATCTTGTGGGTAAGGCTGGACTGTGCTTTTGTATCTTTTGAGTTCCAGCTCTCCTCACCATTGCCACCCTCTCCTCCTTAGTGGCAGCCCTCGGTTTCTCCCACCTGGATACTGCAGTAAGTCAGTTCGCTCCTTCCCTCTCTGATCCATCCCATACTCTGGATCAGGGGCCAGACTCACTGTATTAGGATGCTTTGGGCTACAAGTAACCTGAAACCCAACTAACATCTTCACCAGTGTGAGGGCTTATTATCTTCCCTAAGAAGTCTGGAGGCAGGGAGGTTTCGGGCACCAGCAAGGACTTGGGAGCCTTCCATCTTTCTGCCCTGCCATCTTCAGCCCTCATGATCCAGTGACGGCCACAGCTGCTCCAAGAGTTACTGTCTCTACACGGTTGCATCTAGCGGCAGAAGAGGCTGCTTCTCCTTGGGGGTCTCTTAATCCAGGAAGGAAATCTTTCCCAGAAGTCTCCTGGTGTCTCGCCAGTATTTTGTCACATGCAGTTGCGGCAGAAATAATGGATTGTAATAAGCCTTTTGATGTCAGAGATCCAGGCTATTTCTTTGGCTCCCCAGTACCTGCTAGGCACCTAGTAAATGTCAATTAATACTTGTTGATTACTGTTTTCCTTTTCTGAGTAGACTCCTGAATACTTATCTGATGTCATGCTGATTTCAGAGGTTATGTTGGTAAACCAATCAGGGACCAGATCTTGCCCTCAGGGAGCTTACAGTCAAGATGGAGAGACCATTATTTGTGTTCAGCATATCCAACCATGTGGGTTGTAGCAGTCTGCTGTGGGGCAGCTTAGGAACAGGTGTGAAATTGGGGCTCAGGGGGACAAATGGAAGTGAGACTCACCGAAGGGGACCATCAGGGCCTCTGAATGCTGTGGCTGAGGACGACACATTTTCCAACCTAAGCAAGGTCTTTCAAGAAGTTCGGATTTCTGTCTCCACCCCACTACCAGTCTTGTTTTCCTGTTGACAAAATGAAGGTTAAAAATTTGCCCTTGAGTATGGAGTGGGGGCAGGGTACAGAGCTAAGCGCCTCCTGCCCCCAGGGGAAAATTTCTAAAGGTTCTTGCGGTATTTTAGCTTCGAAACCCTGTGAAATTGAATTGCATGTTTAGCGTCTTTGTGCGTCTCACTGGCTTTGAAGCTGCTGGAAACTTTCTCTGAAAGCATATAGACGAAGAAATAAGAATTCTATAAATGTTTGGTGGTTAAAAACAAACTGCTGGCCAGTTTATAGAATTTTGGGGTCATTTTCTGATGGAACATTCTGCAGACACGGAATACCCTGGAGTCTTCCTGTCACAGTCAGCTAATAACTGACTTCAGGTCTGCAAATGCTTTTTCATTCCAATTCAGAGAAAACAGAGCCTGTCCCAGGGCCTCATGGGCCCTTATTTTCCTATTGATCTAGGAGCTGGGCTAACTCAGGACCCCCCTGGGAAACATCTCAAAGCTCATTAAAGATGTTTGTTTCAGGTTTGCCTGTTTTTCTTGCTTGATTGAAAAAGTTGCAGTTTTGGCTTTTCTTATTAAAAAAAAAAAGGCTCTATCGCTACAGCTGATCCGGGAGGTGGGAGTGGGGGGATTGCACACTTCAGCGCACACGTGATGTGTTGCCCTCCCGCCCTCTGCGCGAGGCCCTCACAGAGTGGCATCTCTGAGCACAGGGCCGGGCACCAAAGCAGCTACTTTCCTTGAAAATTCTTGAGTCTCCAGGAGGAGAGGCCAGGTGAGCCTGGGCATGAAACCCAATGAAGTGGTTCCAGGGTGAGGCTGGTTCTGTTTGACCAGCTTGAGTTCTGAAGTTAATGGTCCAAGGTCCGCACTCAGAGGGAGAGTTAGTATATGGGGAGATGGAGGCCCTGACAGCTATTCCAGGGTGTCCCCCGACCCTTTGTTTAACCGCGGCTGTGGACCAGTGGTCTCAGATGTTTACCGTCACCTGTTTATAAGAGGGAAGTGTGGTCATATTTCTCTCTCTCTTGTGGGCTGCACGGTTGCCTTACTGGGGCTCATGTGGGAAGTGGTTACCGTTCAGAGGAGGGTGAAATAACAGTACTCACGAAGGGACTTTGATCCGACCATCTTTCTGAATGTCACCTTTTGACCACTGTTGTTTTTTTATTTTGATTTTTCATCTATCAGCCTTAACTTCAGTGACGAGAAAATCAGACCGCATGCTGGACCTCGTTCTACCCAGCTGGGTATCACAGTTCAGAATTGCGGCTCAAAGTGCTTCTCCTCTCTCTGGGTTTCACTGGGGGGTTGACTTCCAGATCTGTAGTTCTGCACAGCTAGAGACCCTCAGCTTCAGCTGTTCTCTGGGCTTCCACATCTGAACATCCCAGCAATGCCTGGAATCGAACATGGGCCATTTCTTTCTATCCTCCTTCCATGACCGACACTAGTCTTCATCTTCATCATTATCGGAGCCCCCAGGGTCAGTGAAGTGTTGAATCAGTCAGAGAACAGACACACGTGAACACGAAGGAACCTTGGCATCCCGTTTCTCTGATGAGGCTGAGGGCCCTTGGCCACTCTTTGGTGGAGCTTGGCTTTCTGGCTCCAGGAAGGTCAGCTTGGCTTCTCTGGGTATTGGTCTTCGCATCTAGAAAATGACAAGCTCCAAGAGAGAACCTCAGAGGTCTGTATCGGCTCGAATACTTCACGACACCTTTCTGCCCTCTCTTCCTTGGCTTCTGCGTTTTCACTCTTTTCTCGACGCATATATTTTCCTGGGAGGCAAGTGTAATTTTTCATCTGATGCTCTACCGTCAGAGGCAGCCCATTCCTTATTTAATTCTATTATAGTCACGGTTTAACTCACCAGGTACTTACGGAGCATCCTCAGTTGTCGTTGGTGGTGGCAGTACCGCCAGACACCGTGGTCCAGGAGGTGTGAATGGCCCGTGGATTTGGACGGTCATACGTACTCCTGCTGCCTGGAGCCGCCAGGCTTCTATTCCCGGGCTAGGGGAAATCAGCCTTCAGGCAAAGAGGAATTCTCATTTAGCCCAAAGCACAGGCTTCCTGTGCTTCTGGGACCAGCTGCGTTGCGGCCGAGGTGCTGTAAAAATACAGGAAGGAAGGGAAGCGTGTTCACAGGTTGGTTAGAGATTTTGAAACCAACAATCAACTCTCTTATCCACAAGAAACCAGAATCCACTGCTGGCTTTCGGGCTCTCACACCCGCCGCTCGACAGAGTGCTCTTTCAAAACTGGGGTAGACTCTTTTTGCTAATGGCTTTTTCCATGAACCCCAGCCAGCCAGCAAGTATATTCTTTGAGGATTATGATTTGACCAGCACGCTCAGGAATCTTTAAAGAGAAGAACCATCTTTGTCCTCAGCTGTTTTAAGGCCAGTCAGGAGATAGAGCCTTCTAGAGATGAAGTAATGAGAGGCTGGCCACTGCAAGTACACAAGAAGTAAACAGTGGCCATTCCCGTGACCCTGCTTTTTTTGGGAGTCTGTCACCCCAGGGGCTCCTGGGTGGTGCACAGGAGAGAGAACCAGAGGTGGAAGACCCCGTTTCTAGGCCTGCCCCATTGTGAACCAGCTTCGTGACCTTGGGTGAGTCACTTTGCTACCCCGGCCCCTGGTTTCCTTCTTGACAAACCAGAGGCGTTGACTTAGCAGGATTTTAATGTTTCTGCACCTTAAACATTCTAATTCTGGAGCTTGCGTTCGAAGAAATGACCGACTCTGTTAACTCATTCGGATAGTTTCAGGATCACTGTACAATCGCTCTGGGGGCTGGAGATTGGGGCCCGCCGTTGAAGACAGGATGGAAAGAGCTTTGAGGTGCGGGATAAGCCGTCTCAGCTGGGACTCCTGCTTCCTAATGACCACATTGGTGGTCGGGCTCACCATGGAAGGTTCTCAACCTTGGTTACTTATAAAAATTCTGATACCCAGACCACACCTCAGACCAATTCAGAATGTCTACAGGCGGGGCCTGGGAATCAGTATTTTTAAAGTTATCCAGGTGATTCTGGGGTGTGGCCAGCATTGAGAATCAACAGCCCTAGATCTTAAGTAAAGCTGTGGTTCAGTGTTCTGGGCATCTTTTTTAGGGGAAAAGTGATAGTGGTTGGTTTAAAAAATAAAAAAAGCACACAGAAAAAAAGTTCTAGATTTGAGAAGCATGTTGATTTGGTAATCAAGGCTGTTGATGGTGAGTAGTTGCCCTGAGATTTGGATCCCCAGTTTTCTTTCTCTGGGTCAGTGGTTTCTCAAACATCTCTGAAGGAGTAGAACCATCTGTAGTTGGTTATTTCTGCTTGGGAAACTCAGAGTACTAAGTGGGGGGGGGGGGGTGGAGCCAGGGCAGGGGCGGAGCAGGAGTGGATTAAACAGACCGTAACACGCAGCCACGCATAACACGCAGCCACGCCTTTTTCATGAAGCCAAGTCGGAGGCCCCAGCCAGCGCTGGCATACCTTAGTGTCAGATCCTTGGCGATGCCCCGGTGGATGCGAGGGGCTGTGAAAGTATGTGCTATGCCGTTTCCTGTGCCTTGGTGAGTGTCCCTGCCCTCGGTTGAGAGGATCCTACCACCCTCATCAGCCATCGCATCGAAACACTTCCGTTTATGCCCAGTCAGTTGTTCGTGCTTCCCTGCGGGGACTCCATCCCTACAGCCAAATGCAATCTGAGGGGACACAGCTGTCCAGAGTAAACAGTCATGGGAAAGGACAGCTCAGTTCTAATATCTTTTCAGGCAGAGGGGAGGGCATATTGTGATGGTGGTGGGATTGTGAAGGGGACTGCTTAATGGGTGTGAAATGAGCTTCAGGAGGGAGGAGAACTTGTCGGTGTTGATTGGCCCCGAAGGGCCTCGCATATGGGGAGCAGGGTCGAGGAGCTTTTCCAGTGACAGGGTTTGAGAGGTGGGTGTAGACACAGATGCCAGATGGAGGTTGTTATTTCTTAGACAAATGAGGAATCCGTCAGTCACTAAATGTTTAGGAAGCAAGGCACTCAGAGAAATGGCAGATACGGCCTCTGCCCTCAGAGAGCTTACAGTCTGACTTGGGGTTTGAATACACAAGTGTGGGATAGTACGAAGGTCTTCTGTGCTGTGGGCACATGGTGAGTACCCAGGGGTTCGGAAGGAGGGGCCCTGGAATGGGTGGGACGGGCCAAATGCATCAAGGGATGTGGACCTGGGCTAGTGAAAGGGAGACACATGGGCCCCACTAGTGAAGTGTGCCTGTCTCCTCACTCCTAACACGATGTTGATTATCTTTGGGGAGCAGCCCCGAGGGGCACCCCATTGCTAGTAGGAGCGACTTTATGTTCTTGGCTCCCATCAGAATTCTCTGCTTTCAGGAGTCAATTTTCCTCTAGCTTTCTCCTTCTCCTGTGAGGGGTGGTCTGCCAGCCCTCTGCTTTGATGATTACCATCTGCCCACCTTAATTTCCTGCGTAGTTTCAGCTCGAAAGCCTTTCTGGACCCAGAAATATGTAAGATGATCGTTCTTGGTTCCAGTAGCCACCTGGCACCCTCTCAGCGGTGGCTGCATTTCAGGTATGCATGGGAATGATTATCTGTGCATCAGCGAACTCGAGTTTGTCCTGTGAGCGAGTTGTGTGATCATTGGTAAATGCAGGACTGGCTTTGTTAGGCCCTGACTGTGGCCAAGGCTGTTATTTCTCTGTGGGTAATTATTTCAGGCTTCACGGTCACAAGCTGAGCATAATCACGGGCAGATAAGAAAGCCATATATAGAGCAAAGTACATATTTCTCGAGGTGGGCGGCAGAGGCCTCATATATATGTGTGTGTTGGTGTATGTGTGTTTAAAAAAAGACCTATATTTTCTGGGCAGTGGAACTTCAGTTTCCAGTAAACATCTCTTCCCTTTTTACTTTACCTTTTAATTTGGTGTTTATGGTCTCTGTGCTTTGAAATTGTTTTGCTGTGCTGCCAGCTTTGCCTGGAAAGGGGGGGTGGGGAGAAAGCCAGGCCCTTGGGAAGCCATGGTTTCGATCAGAGTTCTTAGAGTTCCTCTGGCCCAGCTGATTGACGGCTCAGCGGTGATTGCTGGAGCTCATCTAGAAGAATAAAAACAGACACCTGGAGTTCGAGGTGGGAGGGGATATGCATTTATTCGTTTCTCCCCGTTACCGCCTTTATCGCGGGAGGCATCATCTATATGTAATTCTGGTCTGGGGTTTGTTTTCTCTGTTCCCCATTTGCCCACGTTGATGCTTCTGCTCTGGAAATCAGAAGTGCCCAGAGCCCCAGACCTGGAACTGATTCTCTGAGACTGTGGCTTGGAGGCTGGGCACACACGAGGCTCAGCTGTTGCTAAGTGAGAACAGCCTCGCCCGGTAGGCTTGCTGGATCCCCCGTTATTTGCTTCACCTGTTGGCGGGGGTGGACGGCAGAGGGGCAGGCAGGGGCTGGGGAAGCCCACTGCGGAAACACGTGGGTGGAGGCCAGGTGAAATGCATGGGTGAGGGTGAAGGTCCGTGGAGGAGCGGAGAGCAGGCAGAGCTGGGGAGAAAACCCACAAGAGCAGCAGAGCTGTCGGGCTGCATCGCGGGGGCAGGCTCGAATGAAGGAAACACAGGCGGTGTTCTGCTGCTTTTTCACACCTTCTAGTTGGGCGCAGCTAGGAAGGCTGTTTCAGAATCCCCTTCAATGAACTGAGGGAGCAGCTCCCGCAGCGGTTCACACCTGGCGTCCGTCGGCACCTGGGAGCACGCCGTGTGGACAGGGCTGCTCAGACCTCTGTCGGGGTGACCTTTTCTCCGGACAGAGAGAGCCCAGTGAACCGAGAAGGGCAGGCCCTTCCTCAGGGACCCTCAGCACCTGGCCGCGCAGAGCTCCCAGGAGGCCCCAGGAGAGCATTTGACACACAGCAAACATTCTTGAGTGTGAGCACAGCCGACAGCTTTCTCTTGCAAGGTAGGCTTTTTTTTTTCGGCTGGGGGAAATGGCTGCTTTTGTTTAGTTTCTGTATTTCTGAAGACACCAGATTAGGAGCCCCCAGAGAGGTGAGAGAGACACCCTGAAAACCACACACCCCTTCCCGGTCAGCTCTGCCTGCCTGACGACCATTGCTGCCTGGCTGCTGTTTCAATGCACTGTCCTTTCCCCCACTTTCTTCTCCCTCTGAGCCTCTTGGTGATTCTGAATAGCAGGGAAAGCAGCCAAGTGTCCTCCTGTCTGTGACCTTCATCTGCCCCCTCCTGTGGGCGGGGTGGGGAGGGGATGTGGAGCATACTTGAGGGTTTGCAGAGCGCTTTCCCATGGTCCTGTCTTCACAGCAGCCCTGGGAGAGGCAGGGAAGTGGTCTCGCCCTTATCTCGTAGGTGACGGGGACAGTCTCTGTGTTAGTGGAGAAGCAGGGACAGAGGCCCTTCCACCAGTTCTTCGGCGGGGTCGTTCTTTTACTGCACCGAGTGGCCTCAAAAATAAAGGCACGAGGTGTGTGTGCTCGCGAGGGTTCTCAGTGTATCCCTCCGATGATACCAGAGTCTTTTCCAACCGCTGTCCCTGGGAAGGGGAGACACCACCATGACCTTTTATGTACTGTATTTTACAGTTTACAAAGTGCTGTCATCTACCTGATTTTATTTCATCTCTGTGACCATCTCTGGAAGTAGATGCTAGTCCAGGCGAGCAAAGGGAGCCCTGGAGATGCTGAGTGACTCAGCCCAAGGCCCCCAGCCGGTCAGCGGCCCCGGGGGAAGGGGGTAGCACCAGCTGGATGGGGAAGTGAGAGTCCAGCGGAGCAGGGGGTGGTGAAACCAGCAGCTGGAGGCGTTGAGTTTTGCTGTCCTTGTCTCCGAAGCCGCACAGGGACATGGTTCCTGACCTGACCCTCCCCTGGAGGGCTTGACCGTGGATGCCCTGCCCTGAGTGGAAGCCTGGACCCCCAAGTGTGAGGCGGAGGCACAGCCAGGCCGAGCGAAGGGCTACCCCGAGGGAGTGGGGACAGGCTGCTTGGGAGCGGCCGGAATCGGGGTCCATCCTGCTCGGCTCACACAACCGCGAGGCCGACGTGGCAGGGCGTGTGCAAGGAAGACGGTACTTCAGAGCAGGGCGCCTCTCCTGGGGTAGCAGGAAGACCTGGAGCCTGACAGGTTTTGCTGAAAATCCCAACTCTGCAACTTAGTAGCTGTGGGCTCTGGGGACACTTGCAACACTTGGGACCTCAGCTTGAGGGTACTCACTCTGTCCTTCAGAAGCATGGGGTCCCTGCCACAGTCTGGGCCATACACAGTAGGTACTCCCCGGGTCAGAAGTGACTTGATAGGTTATCTAGTCCAACCCCTTCAACAGATGGAAACTGAGGCCCTGAGAGGAACAAGGACTTGCCCAAGGTCACAGTGAATGTGCGGCAAAGCTAGAGTTCGAGCAGGTCTCTTGATCCCCCTGCCTGGGTGTTTTGTTTACTTGTGCTTTGCCTGAATGAACCCGGGGTAGCTTTTGTTGTTAGTTCACACCCTGGCCAATAGCCCTGTCCCCGAGTAGTTAGTTTTCTTATGGAGTCAGCCAACACCCAGGGATGAAAGTGTAAGGCCTCTGATGTCGGGTTTTTAGGGAGAGGAGAACGGGTGGGAGGACGGGGCGGAGCGGTAAACACTTTGATGCTTGCCTGATGTGAACCATCCTGGTTTTCCAAGAATGCTCGATGGTAAGCACAGTTCTGACGCTGAAATGTTCCACTCAGAGTTCTGGAGAGTAGACGTGCATTTCTCGTAAAGCCCTTGAGGCTTCTCTCTGCTGCATTCCCCACCCCCATCTCCCTAGGGCTTTAAATCATCTTTGGCTTGGGGTTGAAAGTAACCCATTACAGTGGTGAGCCTTGTGGTCCATTTTGTGCAGTGTTGTCAGGCTAAAATATTATAAACAGACCACCAAACTGTGTTTGGTCCAAGGCCAAGGACCTCCTTCTCCACTTGAGCGTTTGATTATCTGCTACAGCGTTCAGCTTTGAGTTCAGTGCAGGAATCCAGCATAATTTCTTATATTGTTACCATCTGGTTTTGTGGAGTTTTGCTTTTGATTTTAATTGTGCCCTTTGGGGGAGAGAAACCCTACAAGTGGTGGGAAAATAAGATCCCCCTTCCTCACCCTGGCACCCCAGGCACACACACGTCGCTGCCGTGGTGCTTGGGGGACGTGGCTGAACAGAATCCTCTGAATTTCTGAGCGTCCTCTTTCATTATTCCTGCTCTCCCAGCAGCCCCCGGGCCCTTGGCTACTTCACAGGGATTGCTCAGATCGGTCCCAGGTCAGAGCCTGACCTGAGATGGAGCTGCCTCCGTGGTAGTGAGGGCTGAAGGTGGTTTGGGGTGTTGCCCAGTGTGACCCGCCCTGTCCGGAGACCAACATTGTGGTGATAACGTTATGTGACCTCTTTAACAAGTGAGTCACTTGCCCTCAGATAACCACCGGTACTTTCATGGGGAACTGCTAGTACCATTGTGGCCGTGGCCATGGTTTCTGCAAAAGAAGGTGTTTTTAGAAATGAAGGTACAGAGATTGGTCTCCTTAGATTTG